GATCAGAGCCAACATATAAAGAGTTTCAGTAATCTAAATAAGAAGTAATAAAAGCAAAGTCAGACTGTATTTACATAATTTTAACCCCTGCTGAGGGCCGGCAGACTTTTTATTACAACCTGATATATAAACTTTTTTTTTGACTTTATTTTTCTCTTGGCAATATGTAAATGTATGACCTGCAGAATATTATGATTAGTGTCATTTCCTGTATCGACTCAGTGTTTTCCTTCACGGATAACTCAGCTGTCATCTGTGCATTTTACGTGAAACAAACGGAGCTGCACAGACAAAAGCATGACAAGGTAGGCCACAGTGTGTCAGCACATTGCATCAGATCACAGCACAGATCAGGAATAAAACGTATAGTGTCAAAATAGTGACATAAAGTGTCAAAATGTGGGAAATGTTTGGGGGTTTTTTTTGGGGGGTCTAATACATAGATCCAACAAACATTCCCCAACATGTCAGTGATGATTTTTGGTAAATTTACTATTGGCATTAAATGGAAGTGTGTGCATAACACAAACTTCTCACTGCCATGAGTCAGCTAAAAGAACTAGAAACCTTTTGTGGAAGTTAAGAGAGTCTGAAAAGAAGCAGCAGAGAAAAACAAATGGTGATGCAAATAATGTTCAAACGCCAATATCAGATAATATGTGAGAACTGTTTACCGTTGCCATTGTCCATTGTTCATCTGCGCTGCCTAAATGTGAGAAGTTGTGCAAAAAAGTATTCTAACAGTAAACTAGTCGAAGTATATTTGGCATCATTGGACAGAAAGTTCCAACATTTATGGACCAAAAATTATAATAATCATTATTAGATGCATAGAATTTTCTGATTTAAGCGTCTGTTTCCATCGTGCAGGACTATCCCTTCCATGTAGCCAGTGCAGTATGCGAGTGGATTGTTGCCTTTACCTTTGTCTTCTTCTTCTTCACATACATTCATGATTTCAAGGTCAGTATCTCACTGTCACACATAGTATATAGTTTTTTAATATATATTTATTCATTTGCTAAAATTCTTCTTTTTTTATTCTCCTACAGTTCTTTACCTTACGGGTGAAAGCAGAACTTGAGGATTAGTCTTGGAACATTTTGGGCCACAAACATTAAGATAAATAAGTATTTACATTTTATGTATGTATCTTTATTCCTGTCCAATTTCCCCTGGCTGAAATTTTGGTAGAATACAGTAGATACTTAAAAATATATCTATTTATGCATTTTAGTACAACTGGCTGTCTGTCACGTGTGACAGATGGAAAAACTATGCAAATACTGTATTATTACATTGTTTTTACACAAACTATTTTCAAGTGTACTTAATGTTGCCTGCTTACTTTGCACTTTGCTGTTGCCACACCAGCATGACACATTCTGTGAGAGCTCTGACTTTACATAGGAGAAGTTCATCACACAGTAAGCACATGATCGGTGCACTCGGGGCTAGATGACAATACCACTCAGACCACTCAGTATGTCTGTGGCTACTTGGCAGTCTGACCTGTCTTTGACTGACAGTAAATGTGTACTAGTTGTTGGTTTTGTGCAGAGGTTTATGAATTCCCAGTTTTATTGGATGACCACATTATTGCAACATCAAATTAAGGAGGAAAACCTCCTGCTGTGGATGCTCAGATTCAGAGTTTTGGTTTCGGTATTTGAATCTGTCCTCTCCACATTGTTGACTCATGAAAAGTCCAACATGGTGTTTCTGACTGACATGAGTTACTGTATACTGTTCACGTTCTCAGTCATGCTAGCAGACACTCTAATATCATCTCTGGTGCTGCTACAAATGTAGATTTTCATACAGGTAATAGGAATTATGCTACTTTTTATTAGGAATTATACAATATGAACTGAAAGTAAAGCTGGAATTCTGGAGGTTCATTCAATAGGGCTTCTGGCTGGTTTTTCACTTGCAACCTTACATCGTACGGTTTTAATCTAGGCAGAAGTTTCTGGTACCAAGTATGGATCTTGTACCTAGTAAGAAAAATGTGTTTTTTTTAAGTGTGTAAGGTATGAGTCATGGATCATTTTAGGTGTGCAGGCTGACTTCAAAGTAAGGATGGCAAACTTTAGACAACTTTGATCTTAAATGAGCTGGACCAGTGGAATTACATGATAAATATGTAAAATCATAGAAAAGCTTTTGGTAATTTATTACCCAGACAGTCTTTGTCCAGTCCGCTGTCAAAAGCTTGAATTTATATAGACGACAGTGAAAAAACAGGAACTTGCTGTCATTTTCTTGTTTATCTATGAATTTCTTTGGCGTAGTATGTCTGACAAGCTCAAAAACATATCAGAATACAGTTAAAAGTACAAAGTCTATGCACTCCATCACATTTTCCGGGCCTGCCGAGTGGCAAATTGGAGTCTTTACCAGGCCAATTCTGGCCCCAGGCCTTATGTTTGACACCCCATACATAAAGGGTGTTGGACTACACCCATCTTCCAAATACTGATATTAGCAGGTGGGTGGGGTGAGACGTTTGTGGCATTGCAGCTGGTGTAATTTGGCGTAATTTATTTATTTACTTTTAGATGTTTAGAGGAAAACATCTAAAATTAAGAGCCACCGTTTTAGCCAAAAATCAGCAAAGTAAAATCACTGGGAGACTAGAAACGGGCTGTAAAACTCTGAGAAAAATGTGTGATTTAGAGATTGTTACATAAAAGGAACAAGGGAAGATATTAACAAACTAGAAGGCTACTTGAAAGTTTCATTACCTTTAATCTCTCAGACAGAGAGACATGCAAACTGAGAAAAGTGGTCAAGTTTTAGCGGAGCAGCAGGCACATACTTCTGCTGAACTGCTCTTGACTGGAGCTGTTAATGTGGAGCTGGAATAAACGTACTGTACATTAAAGAAAATAAAAGGATCCTGCGCAGTGATGTATACCGGTTGTAACCATTTCACTACAGGTACTGTTTTTATAAGAGGGAAACATTTTACTTTTGTTTTTTCTGAACTACTTTTGTACTTTTGCTTATAAAATGAGTTACAACACAGATTGTAATGCACAGCTGAGATGCATAATAAAAGCACATATTTAAAAAAAAGAAAAGAAAAAGTGTACGAGTGTTTATTTAAGGCAGAATCACAGATCCAGCATGGTGTTTTTTCAGTACAACTCCACACTTATCTCACTTCAACTTAGCATCTGTTAAAAGACATCTTATCCCTGACAGCGATGACATGATTGCCCCTCTTTCTCAGGCTTGTACCCACAAGTTTTGAATCACATGACGATGAAGAGTCGTACTTCCTACCAACAACAAACACCACGAGAAAGACTGCAGTTCACACATCACCTACAAAAGCTAGAGCATAACTCTAGAAAACCAGGTGAAGATCAAGAGGCATGTCATTGGACTGACTGGCTGTAGAGTGTATTAGTACTCAGTGTCTTAATAGTACAGTAATTAATTTCTCTGTATCAAACATCAAAACTTAAGCAGCTTTGGGAAATTAACATTTTTCAAAGAATTTGAATATCAAACAACAAACAAATATCAAAAAGAAAATAGTTTTATTGTTATAAATTATTAGATTCAACTAAATGGATGAAAGTGCACTAGGCAGTGCTGCAGGTACGGATTTAAAGTCTTGATAAAGAATATTTTAGTCTGAACAGCATCCTCTTTTTCCATCAAGGTTACACAATAAT